AATCTCTTGTTGTCTATGACATATGTGAGGTTCAGACAATCTCATTCAGACCTGCTACATCATTACAAATGTGTAATTACAAATATATTTAACGTAGTAGAATGAAGCAGGGTGAGGCTGAAAGCCATCGAAGCGAAACGAGGCCGCTGAACGAGTGCGACACACGGCTCGAAAGCAGCGGAGCTTTTATTATGCCACAGTCAAGCACTTCCACTCCTTCTGGTCGTGTGTATGTGGGTTAAAGCATCGCAGTTTTATCATACTAGATACATTTGAAAGTTCTGTTATAATGCTACTCTGTGTGGTCGTAATAAAACGCATAACATATTAAAGTGTCTTTGGTGTTTTCATGTTTTCTACAAAACAAAACCGGAAATCGAGGGGATATGACGTCATTGGCAGGCGACACAATGACACTATAGACACGGTCCGTGTCACTAGTTAAAATTGCTTATTTCTCTGGATTTAAACATTCTTCGAAACATTTGGGATAATGTAAGTACACAAGTCAGCAAAATATATAACACTGTTCTAGTGATTTTTAGATATTTTAATAAAAAAATCGTACATATTGTGCCTTTAAGTCGCTGGGGTATGTTTGTAGCAATAGCCAAAAATACATTGTATGGGTCAAAATTATTGATTTTTCTTTTATGCCAAAAATCATTAGGATATTAAGTAAAGATCATGCTCCATGAAGATATTTTGTAAATTTCCTACCGTAAATATATCAAAACTTAATTTTTGATTAATAATATGCATTGCTAAGAACTTAATTTGGACAACTTTAAAGGCGATTTTCTCAATATTTTGATTTTTTTTGCACCCTCAGATTCCAGATTTTCAAACAGTTGTATCTCGGCCAAATATTGTCCTATCCTAACAAACCATATCAATGGAAAGCTTATTTATTCAGCTTTATTCAGAATCTCAATTTCGAAAAATTTACCCTTATGACTGGTTTTGTGGTCCAGGGTCACAAATATGACATTTTGAAGTAGAAAGACTAAAATAGCATTTTGTTGTAAAAATTTACTCAAATAATCTAGTTTTATTTACAACTTAATGTGTAAAATAATTTAAAAATCATGTTTACAGTCTGTGTGTGTTCTCCAAACTGTATTTGAACTATTTCTCAAGACTATGATAAATCATGAATTAATCATAGTGCTATCAATCACACACTCTTGGCTGTTTATGAGTTATGGTGGATTAATTAAATGTCAACTTGAAGACTATCCTGAAATGCATGTCTGGCAATCGTAGCATCAAATTCAGGCCAGTGTAAGTTTCAGCAATGCATTCTCATACACACCAGCATAATAAGCATGTTATGCTGGTACCTGAAATGATCTCAATCATTAGTGAAAGCTGTGTCGTTAGTGTGGGTGTGTGCGTTGTTATTGTGTACAGTGTAATCATTTGTATGTGTGTTTCAAACTCACAGGTGCTTGAGAAAATTTCATCATGAATTTAAGCCCGAGGCACTCAAAACACAGTTTCACAAGATAAGAACGGCTAAAATTACAAAGAACAATTTATGGCATCTGTACAAATGGGCCATAGAGCATTGAAATGCATTTTCAAACCTCATTCTGTTAATGGTTTACAAATAGTTCCACCAGTTTAGACCAGTTTTTCCATCCCTAATCAAAGCTGTATTTATCTAGCACATGAATTGAGAAAAACAGGAAAGCATTTCTTTAAGATTAACATGAAACTGCATTCACAACCTGTTTTTCTTCTCTAATGCGACATTTCTGAGTGAGAAATTATATTCAACAAGAAAAATGTAGGTCGGGACTTTTATCCATTGGGATTTTCATCCTTCGAGAAAAGTGGGCGTTCTAGACCCGATTTTGCGTTTGCATTTGATTGTGTAGGCCTACCCCCTCTTGAAACACTGCTGGGAGCCACTTTTAACTGGGACGTGGTGGCTGAAGGTCAAGTTCACCCTCAAGAGCATCACAATGTATCCCAATGTTAATGCTTTTTTGTTATTTGTTAAGTTATTGCAATTTGTTCATTTGTAAATTACATTAACATCAGCCAGAATGAATGAATTATTTAGAAAGGCACCATTACCGACAAAAGCAACCTAAAACAAAGACTAAATATTTATTTATTCATTCATTCAATCATTCATTTATGAATGTGAATAGTTTACAACAAGACCAAAACAGTGTATTAATAAAGTAAATACTATATAGGGTCAGCTTTTGATTCCTCAGGCTTTGCGTACAGTCACTAACAAGTTCTTCCTTCCCACATACTGTAAATAAAGGCATTTCATGTCAGCCCACAGGAAATTGAGACTCAGATGTGATTGTTTCAGTTCTGGCATCAGCACTCCAGGAGCAACGTTTGATGGAAATACAGGAAGAGCTCTTTTGATCTTTCTCTGTAGGCTCTATGCACACTTACAAACCCTTCTGGGAAGAGAAAATGTGACGTACTGCTAGGAGGTGAAAAGAGTGCATACACGTGCGTTTCAAATGATGGATGACTAGTTTGCTTTTTAATGTTTGTTCATAGTTTTTGTTGCAAAAATTGTGCTGATAAGTTTATAGTGCACTTTCAGAGCTCACACTTACTGCTTATGTACACAGTGTGAATACTGCTACGATAGGCGGTGAAATAAATACATACTGCTTTTGCATGCAGTGTGAAACAGGTCTTACACACACACACACACACTCACACACTCACACACACACATTCTTTGGTTTCAGCATGGCAGTAGACAATCGAAGAACATAGGTTCAGCAGTGCATGTCAACGCTGTCCTTTGTGAGGCAAAGGTACAGATAAAGTTACTCGCACACGTAACGAAACACATCCCACACAGTGGACAGATAGCAGACAGAGAGGCTGCCGTCAATTGCCACAGAGCTCAATTAGGATAAATGGAACTATCTCTGGTGTATGTGACCTGGTTCTATAATTAACCCTGGGGGATGACAGCATTAAAGCCTGCTGCATGTATGCGTGTGAGATGTGAATGTCTCGCCTCTTACTGCCAAACCCCCCTTCCATGCACAAACACTCGTACACTCGGCAGTACATCAAAGCGTGGCGTATGGTATGTTCTGCTCATGACAATGTTGACTGTGATTATATACAGCAATACATCTAGACCACTGCCTTCAAGTTTAAGCTCTCTGATTTACTGTGTGTTTGGAGCAAGAGCTATTCTTGATCATACACTTATAAACAGTAAAAATAAACGTTTTTAAGACAACTTTATAAGCATTAGCACATTACCTAATTGGAGGAATTGCACCCTAGTTCACGAAACTGGTCTGAACAATTTGTTCAAAAAAAGATTGATCCAGATCAGAGTAGTCAGTTTATTATCTTAAAATGCATATTTTGTTTAACTTAATTGAAAAAGCACTTAAATGTATAAATGTTAGCTAAAACTGCTCTATCAAGAACAGTTAACTCAGGCACAATGCGTTGCATAGGGAGGAGACAAGCAACAGCCTCACACATGCATAGTGAATGTGTTATTGATCGATTAACAGGTTTTCATAGACAAAAGAACTGAAATGATAACTATTTAGGAGGAAACATTCTGTGCATGTAAAGTCATGCAAAACATATGTGCAAACTATTCATAACAAATTTGCATGCACCTAAAATAATGCACACTTAGTCTAATTTTCACCATTCTTCGAAAAATGTTTTAGAAAAACTCTTGGTAAATTGTAAAAATCATACGTAAATTATCATTGATAATCATTTATGATGCAAACTGAGTTTTTCCAATTTTAAAATCAAGCTAGCATTAAAAAAACACTACTTCAGTATTTCGTTTTACAGTCTGTTAGAGCAGAACAGTTTAGACCTGGCATGAATTGGCTTAACTACTGTATGCAGACAGTTATTTTTCTTACCCAGCAGTTGCACTCCTCTGGTCAGACCGTAGACATCGATGAGGGCCCACAGTGGCTCTGTGGTCCGAACGCCACTGAAGAACAACATGGGGCTGGAATCGTTGATGCGGTAAAATACTCTCCCCTTCTTATCCACCCAGAAGTAAATTAGGTTTCCTTCGTTTGCAAACTCTTCTGGCAGAGCCTTGGCCCAGAAGCCGCTCTGGGATACCAGGTCAGGGCAGGCGTATTTTGGCAGGCTGTCGGGATTGATTCGAGATGGGTCCTTAGAAGTAAAGCCCAGGCGGAGAGCGCCACTCCAGCAGCACTGCTTTTTAGTTATCTAAAGACAGGGGAAAAAATGGATCTGTTATCACTACAAAATTAGACAGTGTTCTTTATGGGTCATTGCATAGCATAGAAATGTTTACTCTCAGAAATACTAATATGCACCTTTTTAGGGTTGATAAGGTAGAAAATAGTGTTCAAAATCATGGCTTTGATTTCTTTTTGTAATACAATATATGAAATGTGGGACATACTTTATGCAGAAGTTACTTTTTAATGGTACCACTAGCAGCAAGAAAACTATTTTTTTGTAAATACAAAGTTCTGAAACTCTAGATTGCGCAGGCCGACAGGTTCTAACTCAATATGATATAATCAGATCATTATTCACATGGCACAGCTGACTGGTTTCTTTCGCATCAGCAGCCAATGAGCTTGCTGCTCAACATTCAAATACTTGGCTAGTGCTTGCTGTAGCAGCTGTTCAGACACCCTCCACCTTCCCCAGCTCCACCTGTATATTCTGCTACGGGGTGATTTCATGTATGTTACATATGTAGGTTATTTCATATATGTTATATGTGCAGCAGCCACAGCAGCAGCAGCAATATTTCCTACATGCTCACAGCAGCACGTCTGTGGATATATTGGCAGTAGCAAGTCTTGGCAGCAACAGCAGCGTAGCAGATCTATTCCACCAAGACCAAAAACATTAACATTGCCATGTATATTACCATGCTAAAACTCTCTGAGAGTTGTCATGACAGAACTTTTTTTGTTTCCCAAACACAAAAGTCTTCATCCGCATTCCTTTTAATCTCATTTCTGTTTTGGGCAAACAACTGGGATTTTCATTTACATTTCTTTCGTGTTATTTCTTTCCTGTGGGCTGAAGCAAGTTTCCACTTAATTTCTTTAAAACCTTGTGATTAGTTTCAACTTAATTCTATCAAAGTTTGACTTGTCTTTCCTTTTGTAGCAGTGCTGAAGGCCAAACAAGGGGCATGTTGTGTGATGGTCATAAATGGTTGCGCGTAGGGGACAATTGAGGGGATGTATGAGGTAGTCGTGTGGTGTGTTTGGAGTAGAGAAGCTCTGTTTTATTTGATTTACAGTAACTCCAGGAATGAGCACTACAAACATTTCAAGAACACAATGACATATCACAGCGGCTCTGCGCTGCTGAGAACGTGAGGGTTAAGACTTGACTAACGAGTGAGTATAAAAACAAAGCCATCTGTGTGTGCTGGTCGAATAACTGGTTGGGCTAGATTGAGTGCCATAGTCTGGGATAAGAGTGTTTATTTTGGTTTGTTACTACATTGACCTGGGAAGCGAGAACTTGCGCAACTTCTTTAGGATGGTGTTTTTAAAGTACAGTAACAATAGAGGAACTAACTAAGAAGGATAGAGAAAGCGAAAACCCATTTTCCTAAAGCCTAAACTGTACAGTACTTCAATTGTTACAATAGACTATGACAAGACAGATGAATATTTTTAACACAAACGTCATCTTTGCTGTAGCAGTCCCTCAGAGGTATTCACATCCGCATGTGTGTATCGTCCACTTGAGTATTCCCGACTCACCATCCCCCCAGATTATCAAACTGTTCCCAAATATTCAACATGCCCTAGATACATCTACGCCTTTCCTTGTTCCTACCTTTAAGCGGACCTGCTCATAAAGAGCAATGGGTCGGTTGCTGAAAGTGATGGCGTTGCAGAAGCTGGCCTGCCGTTTGACGCTCCTTTGTCCTAGATCCATGACTATCTGAGAGCCTTTTGCATTGGGGTGGAAGAGAAGGGGGCTCACAGGGATACCTCCACACGGATGCAAGGGTAAACAGCGTTTGGGTTTGTGGTGGCATCGGTGAGCTGTTGAGGGGAACGGTCCACCCAGAGAGTCTAGGAGAGAGAAAGAAAGACTGCTTTAAAAAACATGGTACGCCAGTGTGATTAAAAAGTACAAATTATCATTTTAATTCATTTAAAAAAAAACATAATGGGTGTGAAAATAAGTCTTTTCTCAGCTATAATCATGTTTAAACCCTTAGCTTGGTATGACTAAGCCTGGCCTTTACTTTCAAATCAATGAACCGCATAAAACAGCATCAGCCCTTGCATGGTGAGATTTGTCTGACCCAATTTTACGCAGCATTTGTGTACAGAATTTTCACTGTACAAAGTGATTTTTAGCTTTGTAGATAAATCTAATTCGCTTTTCCCAACAGGCTGTACTGAACTGTACAATTTCAGTACTGAAGCATAAAATGCTCCAGCATTTTATTGCGATGTGTTTATAAATCATACAGTATGTTGCCCTGCAAATTTGTCTTTGCTTGTAGTCACGTAATGGAAAATTGTGTTGACTGATTGTCAATGTATTAATTCATAACAGTCTTTCTTTCACTTACAAGCTCACAAGGTTTTGTGTGTGTGAAGCTCCACGCCTGAATAGAGGTGTACTTTCATGCTAATCTGAGCCTTACATTTTACAGTGCACATATGCAACAGGAATAATTTACATGATGACACAGCACAACAAAAGATCTGAACATTTTTTAATTATACAGCCACGTGCCAAAACAATAGAGCTTTCCACCCTAATGCACCCATATCTCTCAACATGTTACCTGAAAATGCAGTCGTTTCAAACTATTATCTAATCTAAACTACTATTTAATCTTCTTTCATACAATCTATAGTACTGTCGCTCTGTCATACTATCTATTAAAATGTCTCCATAGTTCTGAATTGCTTTAAATTGTCTCCATAGTTGAGTTTCCATAATTGACTCTGTTCTTTCTATCTTTTTATCTATCATATATATCTGTCTTACTATCGATCTGTCATACTATCTATCTTACGGTCATGCTATTTATCAATCATATAACCTTATATCTTGTCTTTTTATTCACATTGTGTTGTTTATTTTGAAGCTGCCAGACTACAAGTCCAACTGTTAAAACTAACCACTGGGTTGTTCATCTCATACGCACACAGTATGACCAAAATCGTATATATCACAATACGAGTAATTTTATTTCACGGTAATGATATATCACAATATAGTTATTTTTGCTTTAAATAAGGTCTTTATTATATCAACATTTTTGATACCATAGAAATTTCATAATTCTTGAAAAAAGGGACAGCAGGAATATTAGACTGCTGTCACTTTAAGAGCTGCCCCAATCCAATATACTGTACTGTTACACGTTTTCTTTCTCAGCTGTTTGCTTTCACTTAAGACCTAAATTACTGTGTTTACGAGGATAGTTGCAAATATGGGCATTTTGAGACATAAAAGTTTGTGTTTTTAACTGTTCAAGGCCTATAAAGTGGCAAAAATAACTCCATTCAATACACCCGCAAAATATGAACAACGCCTCTATGACAGTGCATGCATGGAGCAAAATGAGTTCTCTTTTGCTGCTGATTGTGTTTCGACAGCTTAAAATCACTTGTTTTTAAACCACAATGCTTAAAAACATGTGCAAGTGATAAGTTTTCGTGGCCACGTAGCACAGCAATGTCACGTGAATGTGTAAACCGTGATAGAGACAAAATCTCTCCTGGCTGACAACCGGTAAATCGCCCAACCCTTAGGGCACACACAGCAACATTAACAGTGGACTAGATGCAGGTGTGGCCAGAGTAATGATTTCTGTAGTTGTTATGATCTAACAGAAGGTGAATATCTATGTTAGAGGCACAGTTATGATTTAGTATTGGTTTAGTTGGGACAATGTCATCCATGAGCAGTTTCAGCTCTATGGCTATCCTCTCTGCATTCATTCATGTCCAACATTCACCCAGTTGGCAAGGGGCTCCTTTAACAAGATAACACACCCTCACAGGTCTGTAGTGGCACAGTTGGAGGAGCATTCAGTGATGACACCAGTCCTCTCAGCTATTGTGGCTCCCTGGTAAAAGCTGATAGTGGGCAATGACATGTTTCCTGAGCAATGCAGATAAGGCATGTCACAAGAGAAGAGAATAAAGACTAGATGATTTTTCTATATCTGGCAACCACAGGCTCATATAAAACCATCATATGACAAAATATTGTATTATCAAAACATTAATATGCCTCAGGTGTCTTTTCAGCCTTGTAAGTTGCATACATGTGTCTGTAAGTGTGTGTGTGGGCAGGTCTGTTAGCTGACGGACATTGTGTGCAACACTCATAGTCTGAGCACACTGAAATGAATACATTAGCAAACACAAGAGCTGCAGCTGTCAGACAGAAAATGGAGGTTAAGTAGCAGCTCATGTTCCTTAGCAACGCTGCCATGGTGAGAGCTTTCCATTTTCTGCTGATCTGAGTTCAGTGTCTGTGTTTTCACTTTAGTCTGTCTGGAAAGGGAAAGACGATCCCAGATCGGTTTAATCTGCTAAATGTCTTTTTAAAAAATCTGTAAAATCTGTTTTGTGTCTAAACCGGGTTTGAGGCGGAAGAGAGACATTGTACGAATTATTGGAACAAGTTATGGTACAGCGTAAACAATGTTAAATGTTCATTCAAACAACGTAGGTTCATTATTCAAAATAATTATATGATAATTTAATTAAAATCAACATGAAATCAAAATTGACCTTCTTAATGGTGTTTCTGGTCTTACTGCAAACGATTCACAATCACTGTGAAATCAAAAATTACCATATTGTGTTCCTTAATAATGTTCCTGGTCTTTTTGTGAACATTCATCGCTACAAGTTACTCCAAAAAAAAGGCTTTAGGTATTGATTTAGCAAACTCATATTAAGTCCAGCTCCATTCTTTAATATATCACCCACTTTTTATGATGAAATCTTTTCTTGGTCCCACCCCACATTTTTTCCCAGTAAAATCTGTTGTGAATAGCAATTCACATTGACTTCAATAACTTTCTGTTGTCATCCTAAATTTTATTATATAAGATAGACACAAGTCATAAAATATAACAGCTCAGGATCTGCAGAGACACATACATGCATTGTAAGTAATAGAAGCCAGTCTCCCAACACACAAAAAGCAGATTCCATCCTGGGCTACCAAACACATCATAATGCTGCTATTTCCATGGTAACCACATTCTTTTTTTTAAGGTAACCAATGGACAAAATGATTCTTACATAAGTTCATCCCATAAAGAACAGCCTGCGGGGTCTGAATCAACACACTTGACCATATGAATAATCATTACATAGAATTAGCTCATATGGATTCGGTTTCCTACCTACCCTATAGCAGATTATTGAATACTGTTGATATTATAAATATTTTTTATAATAATTTAAATCTATCAGAAACATAATATAATATAATATAATTCATATAATAAACAGTTGTGCAGCTTAATCTTTGTAAAACATTTTTTATATCTTACTTACCCCAGGCTGTTGAATGGTAGTGCATTACAGTTTCCACAAACCCAGTACAACAATGATAATAATAAGAAATGTTTCTTGAGCAGCAAATGAGCATATTAAAATGATTTCTGAAGGATCATGTCACACTGAAGACTGGAGTAATGATGCTGAAAATATATCTTTGCCATCACAGGAATAAATTTAATTTTAAATATGTTTGTAAAATATTTCACAATATTAATGTTTTTACAGTATTTTTGACCAAATAAATGCAGCTTTGATGAGCATAAGAGACTTCTTTCAAAAACATTAAAAAATCCTAACTATTCCAAATGTGAAGCCAGTAATTGGGTCTTCGAATGGCTTTTGGATCATTTCTAAATTGGGAAAGAGGTTTAGTAAAGCACGCTTGTGTATTTTTTATTGAAGAGGACCATCACCAGGGTATATACAAGAATCATGGAGTTAAACTGAATACAGTTTAAGACCATTTTTAAGACTCTTTCCATACATTTTAAGACCTCATCGCCACTCCAAGTTTTAACCGGTTACATCTGCAACACTTTAACTTACATTTACTATATACTGTTTGTAAGATAGCACAACTAAACAGTCTTACTTTGTGATAACTCCTTATCAATGCAACATAATTCAGAAGGGGGAACGAAGCACAAGAGAATTAATTGAGTGACTATGCAACCCAAGAAACAAGAATTAGACCAATAAACAAAACTTGTTGAGGAGGGAAAATAAAGCTCTCCGAGCTAACGGGGCAATGAGTTCACGCTAGGGATGCAGCGATTAACCGGTTTCGCGATTAACCGTGCTTTAAAACGTCACGGTTAATTAATCGTAAAGGTTCCGCTAAACCGAGTGTTTCTGTTACACGGAACGGAACTGTTGCAGCTTGTGCAAAATGAAAACAAAGTTACACTAGCGGTGCACCAGCTTAAAATGACGTGCTTATCAGAGGCACGGAGGCTACTACATGCATTAGATTAACTGTGACAGAGGGACCAAACACCGAAACTCCACCAGAGAAATGCCTGTCGATAGTGTGGGACCATTTTGGGTACACCAAGAATGACCAGGGTGTCATTTAAATATTGCTGTAAAAAACTGCTGCTAAAGAGCGAATACATAAGGGATAGACTAATGCATGGCTAGCTGTACATTGAACGATTTTAATGCACGACGTGAAGGCAAGAACCACCTGACGCGAAGCTACAGCTCGTTAGCTCAGCATTCTGCCCGCTTCAGATCAGAAAGAGATGAAATAGTGCGGTAATATCACATTTATTCGAATTAACCAATTATAACATTTAGCTACTTGAATTAATTATTCGAAACACAAAACCCCACTATTGGGACAAATATACATAATGAAAAGATGATACAAAATTTAATACCTTGGAAAATGGCATTTAAGACTTTTTAATACTTATTAAGGGCCTTAATGTGATCTAAATTGATTTATCAACTTTTAATACTTTTTAGGAACCCGCGGACACCCTGTTCACATGCTAAGGTCAGGTTTAACTTCGCTGCAT